CCATGATGATGATATTGACGATGCTGCTGCTGCTGATGATGCTGATCATGATGATCATGATGATGAGGATGCTGCTGATGATGATGATGATGATAATGATGATGCTGCTGCTGTTGATGATGATGATGCTGATGATGATGATGCTGATGATGATGATGATGATGATGATGATGATGATGATGATGATGATGATGCGTTCCAGGATATCCCAGGCTTCCAGCACTTCCCGCGATGCCCGACTTGTTCCGCACGCTTTTCTCCAGAAACGGTGCATGGTGGAGTTCTTGTGACGTACCTTGAGCCAATTTTAGCATGACATCTTTATTGTTATCGTCCAAGCTGTCCGGCCATTTTCAGCCTTTGGGGTCCCTGACCGTGCCCCGGGACCGTCAACAAGTATTCGGGGTGAGAAGCCGGTCCTCAGAAATCTAGGCCTCCTAGATGGGGTCCGAGCAGATGGGGTCGGAGGATCGAGCCGCATCGCCAATGCATCGGCGATGCGGCTCCATGTGTAGCCCAATTTACTTCACGTCGACGTCGCCGATGCATCGCCTGTGCATCGCCGATGCATCGCCGATGCATCGTCGATGTATCGGCGGTGCGGCGCGATCCTCCGACCCCATCTACTCCGACCCCATCGAGGAGGCCTCTACGAAATGGGTCAGACCTCTGAGGAGCCACACTGCGAACAACACCACGTGGGCGGATGTTGTGGACCCCAGCGCGGGTGTTCGAGGCCGAACGCCGCCAGTGGTCCGGATTCGGCGGTCATCGATCTGCGCTGTCAATCGTTCAAGATTGACGATCCACGCGGCGCGGTGCCTGGAACCAACTTCTCAGAGGAATAGACGGAACTCATACTGCTACCCTTCGGCCGTTTGCCTCTTTTCGGCCTTCTGCGAGGCCCTCGTCGCCACAGCTGGACTCGCCGCGAAACTCTGCTCAGAACGCACCCCGAGAGAGAGGTCCGGGGAGTAGCGGTATTGGTACCTTTCTGGTTTCCCCCACCAACCGCGCCAACTCGGCAGGAGCCCGCGGTATTGTAAGGACCGGGGCGTCGGAGGTCCTGGTGCTGCTCCTTCTGATGCCGCCGCCGCCTTCGCCTCCCGCCGCCGGCTCAAGAGCCGGTTCCGAGCGCGAGCCGTACCAGTCCTAAGGTCTAAACCAACGCACACCACACCGCCTCAGCTCAGGCCAGCCACATTTGGGGGAGCGGTGGTCCTTACCCCCTGGGGGACCCATCGATTTCGACACCCCCCTCGAGAGATCGTCGATGCGATGGGTTCCCCCAGGGGGGGTAAGGACCACAGCTCCCCCAGTTGTGGCTGGTCGGCAGCTCTTACTTACGATGGCACCCGTCTGTGCCTACCCCGTTAGCGTCAACCGGTCCACTGCGTTCACGGCCGTCGTCCTGGTCGTCGTGCTGGTGGCCAAGGCCCTGCCCGAGCCGCTGTGGCCCCACGAGCAGGCGCCGGAGCTGCAGGTGCTGCTGTCGGAGAAGATCGCCAACACCCTGGCTCGCGTGGCGACCCTGGTCGTGGCCGGGACGCTCACCAGGCACGCCGCCCAGCTGCTTCACGTCAGCGAGGTGGCTTGGATGGCCATGTAGCTGCGCAGTCCGCGCCGAGGTCAGCTCGCCAACGCCCTCGCGCGCGTCCGCGGCGGGCGGCCCTGATCGTGGCCGGGATTCCTCACCAGGCGCGCCGCCCAGCTGCCTGGTTCGGAGGTTCGAAGACGGGGCCCTGAAGGATGGGGCGCTACGGGTGGGAAGGGATCCCAAGTTAAGTTTCACATCGTTTGAGGCACCTCGTCCTTATTGCAAAGGTCCGATGCCTCGATTTTTCTGGCCCCCAGAAGTCTCGGTCCAGCCCTGGGGGACCGACTTTTCGTCCTGAGCCGTTTTTGACGGTCCTGGGGCCCGGCAAGGGGCTTTGGACGCCGACAGTGAGGACAAAAACTCCATCTTCCAAGACTCCCTGACGTCACGATTTTTTCATGACGTCGACCCCCAGAGGTGTCGACCCATTCCCCAGGACCGGTTCTTAATCCCGAATTGTTTTTTTGCGGGTCCTGGGGCCTCGTGAGGGCCCCCAGAGGCCGAACATAGCGAAACACCTCCCGTCGTGTTTTTTCACGCCTCGAGGGGGTCTGGGTTGACAGGGCCCACTCCCTAACAGGACCCCCTCTCTGAGCCACCGATTCGCCTCGGCGACGCGGCCTGGGCGGACATGTAGCTTTAAGTCGGGCCTGTCCCCCTACAGGAGGGATATTCAAAAACAGCCAAAACATGGCCTGGGGACGACTTTTTGAGTATTCTTGCGCATGTGTCAATTATCTGTGGACTGTGTTTTATTCTCTTGCACAGGGTGTCTAGAGCTCCGACCACTTCATTCCGCGTCGCATCCCCCCTCCCCCCACCCGCGTCCCCAGCGCCAGGGTGGCACCCCCGCGCCGTGGCTCTCTGCCCCGAGCCCCCCCGCGTCCCCAGCGCCCCAGCGGGAGCCCCGCCCACTGCCCCCTCCGCCACGAACGCTTTATTCCGCGTCGCACCCCCCCCTCCCCCCACCCGCGTCCCCAGCGCCAGAGTGGGACCCCCGCGCCGTGGCTCTCTGCCCCGAGCCCCCCCGCGTCCCCAGCGCCCCAGCGGGAGCCCCGCCCACTGCCCCCTCCGCCACGAACGGTTTATTCCGCGTCGCACACCACCTCCCCCACCTCCCTCCCCGCGTCCCCAGCGCCCCAGTGGGGGCTCCGCCCCGTGCCCCCTTCCGCCCCGACAATTTTATTCCGCGTCGCAACGCACACCACCACCTCCCCCCCTCCCCCCCCAGCGCCCCAGTTGGACCCCCGCCACGTGGCCCTCTGCCCCAAGCCCCGCCCAGTGCCCCTCCGCCCCGACCATTTTATTCCGCGTCGCGACGCACACCACCTCCCCCCCCTCCTCTCCGCGCTCCCAGCGCCCCAGTGGGACCTCCGCCCCGTGCCCCCTCTGCTCCGAGCACTTTATTCCGCGTCGCGGCGCACCCCCCCCCTCCCCACCTGGGATTTGGGCCCCGTTGCTGGGCCCCGAGGGGCGATGTCTTGCCCCCTCTTCCCCCTCCTCCTCCACCTCCTCCTCCTCCTCCCCCTTCCTTTCCGTGCAAGAGCCAATGCAAACGTGCCACTTGTTTTTCGTCGAAAGTCCCCCTGTAGGGACACATGCCCGACTGACATGTAGCTCTAGACCTCGGGATGGGGGAAGCGAGGCACCGCCCGCCGGGCCTTCGCTCGGGTCCCCCCCCCCGCGGCCAGGCCAGGCCTCGGCGCGCGTGGCCCCGCGGGCCGCTCCTGGAGCCAGCGCGGCGCCAAGCCAAGACGTGGCCCCAGAGCTTCGGGTAGGAGATCGATCATACTTTCATGATGTTCCAACCTATTTTAGCCGTGATCACCAGAATGAATTTCGAGCACCAAGAAAACACCCCAAACAGAGAGGGTTTTCACGTGTCGGGCCCTGGGAGACACTTTTTCGACACTCTTTCGACACTCTCTCGGCACTCTTTCGACACTCTTTCGACACTGTTCTGGGTGCTCGAACTTATTTCTGGGATGTAGTCCTTAAGTACGATGGGAGCAACATACCTATACTTGCTTGGTTGATTGATCCAAGTGTTTTTCCGTCAGACCTACGGAGCATGTGTATCAACGTCGTAGATTTACGAGCAGCACACGTATTTCTGTAGACTCCGGAAACAAGCAATGCTGGTGTACATCAGTTCTGTAGTCGTTCTCCTGCTCGGTGTGCCATCGGAGGTCTTGCTGACCAGCCTCGAGGCTTCCAGGGGAGCAACAGGTACCGATGCCGCGCTACCCTTGCATCGTTTTCACCTTTGCAAGGCCTCCTGGGAGTCCCTCGTCGCCATGGCTGGAATCTCCTCGAAATTCCCTAGCCAGAACGCACTACAGGGAGAGGTCCGTGGAGTAGCGGTTTCCGTGCCTTTTTGTTTCCGCAGGTCGTCCCTATCTGTAAGATTGACGAGCCCAATGCGATCACAATCCTACTCTGGGTTTCTTAATATGCGTGGGGTGGTACCCCCTGACGGGCGTCAACCTCGCCTCGTCATCGCGCCGCGACGGGGGGTCGGAGCGCCTTCGGCGCGCGGTGGCTGCCTGCGACGGGGGTCGATGTGGGGCTGTCGGCGGGGGTGACGCCCCCCCCCCCCCCAAACTCGGAGTAGGGATGCGCCCTCAGAAACTGAGGGAATCCTCCTGATCCGCACCGAGATGAGGTGATGCCAATCTTGGGGATCGGGATCTGTTTCGCGCAGGCAAGCCAGGCCGTGGTGTGTGCATGGCCTCCAGCCTGTCCTGGAGCCAGCACGGCACCAAGATCTGGCCCCAGGTGTGCCGGCGGAGGTCCGGCGGTGGTGCATACCCCTGAGGTCCAACGCATTGAGTAGCTCAAGACTACGGTTTTTCTCAGTTCTCTGCCTCTGGAGGGCGACCTCGCTGGGCCCCGGGACCGTCAACCAACGACTCGGGATGAAGCAGCCCGTCCCCCAGGAGTGGGTCGAGACCTCTGGTGATCGTTTTCTTATTTATTGTTTCCCCGATCTGGGCCGTCGCCTCCCCCCCTCCCCCCCGCATGGAGCAGATCTTGGCTGTCTTTGGCGCCGGTTTCGAGCAGGTGGAGTCTCCCCCCATAGGACGCACTGCTGCAAACAGACGCATGAAGCAGAGGTCCGGAGCCAGATCCCCCCCTCCCCCCCCCCGCTTCCGCCCAATGCCGAAGCGCCGAATAAGCAAACGTGCACCTGGGGAAGACATCGGACCTCTGGGTCTTGGCGGTGGTGCCTGCCTTCCCGTCCCCCGAGACCTGCAGCACGGGGCCGCCGGCTGGTGGGTGCCCCCGCGGGCTGCCCCTGCTGCTCCCTCCGCTCACTTCGCCTCGCCTCGCCCCCCATCCCGGCCCCAGTTCTCTTGTTCTGGCGGCCTTCCTCTGAGCCTCCCAGATGGGGTCGGAGTAGATGGGGTCGGAGGATCGCGCCGCATCGCCGGTGCAACGGCGATGCGGCTCGATGTGGAGCCCGATGTTCTCCACGCCGATGGCGCCGATGCATCGTCCAAATCGCCGATGCATCGGCTTACACCGACACAGGATTGCTGACATTTTCGCTTCTTTCTACGAGCAGCTTTACAAGAGCCGCGGCACTACCGACGAGGATCTGGACAATGAAGTACCCTTGGAAAACGAACAGCACCATACGTCATCGCCTTTCCACGGCAGACCGCCCTTGGGCTTGAAGGAGCTCCGGCATGCCATCCGCCAGCTCCGGAATGGCAAGTGCCCCGACACTGCAGGCATCACTGCAGAGATGCTCAGGTCTGGAGGCAAGTTTTTGGAGCAGCACCTCTTGAAGTTCTACAACGACATCCTCCGACCCGAGCTGGAACCACCACGCCAATGGAGACAGATGACTATCCGAGTCATCCACACATCGGGGGATCCAGGACTACCCAAACATGACAGACCAATTGCTATACTTTCTATGCTGTACAAGTTGCTGGCGCGGCTCCTCTGCAACAGATTGGGGACCATCTTCGACGCGGACCAGAGCTCCGGCCAGGCTGGTTTCAGAAAGGGCTTCAGTACGGAAAACCATGTGTTTACGACGGCGATCATACAAGAACGATCCAACGAATGGCAACTACCGGGAGGGGACAGCGGCCGTTGACTTTATCAAGGCTTTCGATTCGATTGATCACAGGCACTTCGCTACAAGCTCAAGGAATGCCACCAGCTTGCATACACTTACTTCAGCAACTCTACGCGGAGCAGACGGCAAACGTCAGAACGGACAGAACCAGTCGATCTTTCATTCTTGAAAGAGGCGTCAAACAGGGAGACCCACTGAGCTCAGACTTGTTCAACGCATTGTTGGAAGAATTATTTCGTACTTTGAAGGTCACTTGGCCCTCCAAAGGGTTTGGCATCCGTTTGGGATTTGCTCGTGGCGCTCTTTTGACCAATTGGAGATCTGACGACGACGTTCTGCTCTTGCTCCTCGCCCCCAACCTCCGGCAATTACGTTGTCTACTTTTAAACCTACCAGAGAAGGCATCGCCCCTGGGGCTCCAAGTACACCCGGAGAAAACAAATATCCTCACCAACATCAGTCGCAGAGGGGGCCTTACGATTCAACGCGTTTTGGTTGGTGGAGACAACGTCGAGATTTTAGACCACGGGGCGAGCTTGAAATTTTTTGGGCGCATGTTATCTTATAGCAAACAACGAGATGCCGAATTTCACAACAGGATCGCGTCTGGATGGCGCAGGTTTCGTCAGCTCCGACACGAGTTGACGAACAAACACTTCTCGTTTCACTCTTGCCTCCGGCTGTTCAATACGTCCGTCGCCCCGTCCGTTCTGTATTGGTGTATTTCGAGGGCCTTGACCAAGGAGATGCTTACCGCTTTGACGAGAACACAGGGACGAATGTTACGTCTGATAGTGGGGTCCCCCCGGAGACGGTCACAACGCGATTCTGGCCTCGACTCCTTCGGATTGGACATAGCCATGACCAGCGAGCAAGGGGACGACCATCAAGATCGCAGCGACGGACATTCCAACGCCGCCAGCTCCAGCCAACCCACGCCGACCTATTCCACGACCCGGTTCTTGACGACGACAACGATGTAGAGCCGTGGGCCGATTTCGTCAAACGGGTGACTACCATAGCAGAGACACATGCTCGCCGCGCTCGGGGTGATGATGGGGCTACGGTGTGCCACGCGCGCAAGTGAAAGTGGGCAAAACGGATTGCCACGCATCCGAGGGACAGGTGGTCACGCAAGGCCGCTTCGTGGATACCTGAACTACACGACAATCGACCAGCGCACCGACGCAGCGGTCGAGTACAGAAGAGATGGAGCGACGACCTGGTGGATTTGTTGGCGCACCAGGGCCAGCACGCAGACGTGCCAACCGACTGGACGGAAGCTGCTGCAGACCCTCGGTGGGGAAGTTTACAAGCTACGTACGTGTCATGCACGCTCGAGCTGTGCGCGGGCCCCGGCCCGCCGCGCTGGTCTCCATAGGCCCGCCCCCATTTGACGTTTGGGTGCGCTCTCGTTTCGTTTCGTTCAGATTCGGGGTGGCTGCTCGGTCTTGGGACTGAAGCCGCTCTCCGACGACGTGTCGGGCGACTGGGAGAGTGTCTTTTTGTTCGCTGTGCCATAGCGCGCATTGTGCCCCCTACCCTCCCCCCCGCTCCCTCATCCCCCCCCCCCCCATCACGCAACGCCCCCCCCCTCCCCCCCCCCCCCCTGGTGCGCCCCCGGCACTGCCGCAGTGCGTCTGGCACTACAGTCTGGGGGCGGTGGGGGGCGCTACGTTGTGCCCCCTCGCACCCCCCGCCTTCCCCTCCCTCCCCATAACACCCGTTATGGCCGCGAATAAGAGAAGGCGCTCTGGGGCTTCCAGAGGAGGAGGAGGAGGAGGAGGAGGAGGAGGAGGAGGAGGAGGAGGAGGAAAAGGAGGGAACTGTCGGTTTGATCCTCCTGCGGGTGCTCCCCGTCCTGACGGCTTCGACCTCTTCGGCTCCCCCTCGCTCCTGTCGGGCGCGCGTGCGCGCGGGGGTAGGGGGGATGACGATGACGATGCGGGCGACTCGAGCAGGGAATCGACTGCAGAATTGATTTGCCCCAGTCTTTAGTTTCCGGCTGGGTCTACGAACAACAGGACGTGTCCCGTAAATCTACGAACATGCTACGTGTTTCTTGCATTTCTTTCGGCGGTGAAATCAGTTTTGGAGTTGATCCCCAACTCGAACGACGATGACGATACTTGTTGAATGCTCAGCGCGCTCTGCACTCGTGACTGCGGTATGGGGCTCGCCCTGTGTTTTGGTGGAGCTGGGCTGCAGACCTGGTGCCCGAGCTTTTTTTGAGACTGCATGGCTACGGACGCTCTGTCGTTGCGGCGCTGAGGCCGAATTAATTCCAGACTGTGTCGCAACACCTTTCTCTCGTGCCGGGGCGCTCGCTGGCCTGCCAAGCTCACAGAGCTGAATCCGCCGACCAACCCCGACCAGCCTCCCAAACTGTAGCACTTACATCACTCAGCTCCACACCGGGCGCCAGTCCAGAGCGTCGGTGTGAAATTTCGAATTGGAATTCTTCAACTCCGTCACCAGGTGCGGATTTGCTAGTCTCCAGGAGATACGCAAAGTTAATCCAAGGAGACAGCCCCATAGACCATTCATGCCACTGTAGGCAAAAGGGTCGGACAAGAAACATGTGTTTATTGGCATGGTTTGGTTTCGTCAGTGCAACAACTGAAGAGGGGTAGCGGTCCACCTCTATTGGCTTAGCCTGAAGCGCAGCAATGAACCGATCACTATCTCCAGGATATTTGCAAGGACACCTGTGCCGCTGCACTTGGGTGTGGAATGCACTGGCTACTTTGCTTCGCGCGCACTTTAACATGGAGAGGGCCTCCGCGAAAACTGGCTGCTTTGCTATGCGCGCGCTTTATCCTGGAGAGGGTTTCCGCGAGATGGCTTTCAAGATCTCCGCGTCCAGAAACGCTGTGCCATCCCGCGACATGCGTCCTGCCTCAAGCCAAAAGGGGGGGCGCGCGAGCCCTGACATTATCGACGAACTGGGCGACGCGTCTTAGAGGGGGCCGTCGAGCACGGCCCAAGCTGTCGCCCCTTCGAATCGAACGTCGGCTTCGAGACCGACGGATTTCTTGCAGCGCCGGCCCCGCGTGAACCGAGATCCCGCAATGACGAACAGTCGGGGAACAAACAATGACCTCAACATAAGAGCTCGGAGGTCCGCGCAGATTTCCCAGGGCGGCGGTGAACCCCCCTCTGGCGCGCGGAGCGCGCCAGGGGCGGCGCATGAGGCACCGCCAGGGGCCCCCAGCGCCGATCCGAGGAACCCGCGCGGACCTTCGAGTTTTTTTCTTGTTCTTTATGTGTATTCAATTTTCCCCTAACATCATGCTTTATCTGACGCTGCTTCTTGAGCAAAGCAATGCCATGCCAGACCCGTGCCATCCTCGGAATGCCGCGTCGAAGCCCTCCCGGCGCACGTGCTAATACATCAGGGTGAAGCGCAGGGCATCCAGGTATCTAGACTTCTCGCCACCGCTCAAGCACTGGGGCGATTCTCGTTGCAGCATGGGGTGGCTACCGCTCATGTGATACTACTCCTTGCTGTCTATGTTGGCCAACATGCATTCGGACGGAAGTTCAAGGCTCCGAATCTTTATCAGGAGGTCACCTGGGTCTTCTACCACATGCTGCAGAGTTGCCAGATGCGGTTTCTTTCGGCCGCAATGAACTTCATCGTTGGCTAGAACGGGCAGACGGGAGCCATGCGCTGGAGGAGACGTATTTTGCTTTTCCTCTGGCTCTGGTGTGCCTTCGCTGTTCCATGTACATTCAAAGTCATGTCTGGCTCGTGCGACCAGGAGTTTGACGTCGAAGCGTGGGCCAGTCTGTGATCAGGCTCATCCGGCGCGTACGTGGCAATCTCCCATCGTGTCTCCTTGTCCTTGAACATTACCTCGTGCGGGCCGAATTCTGGCGCTGGCTCGTGCGTGCTTCGATTTGCGAGAGCGAGCGTAAAGGAACTTGCCAGAGCGCTTTCCCGAAGCAGCGCGAAACCTCTGTCTTTGTCAGTTGGAAGAACACCCAGATACCAGCTCTCAGAATTTTCAAGCCGAACCTGATAGCCAGTGGAAGCGATGGAAACGCTCGCACTCTGATCTATGCATTGACACACGCAGTCCACACTTCGTTGCACATATTATCTTTACAACAGTTTTCAATGTATAGGCCTCGCTCGAATGAGAAGGGGCGAATTCGTGAAGGCTTCGCGGCAATATGTCTCCACCGTCGTTCCGCCCCGGGGGGTCTAGTGATTGTGCCAGCGCGCGACGTGCGTGACATCTTGCAAGGCTTGGGACAAGCATTCCAGATTCTGGCGCCGCCGATATTGGAAGACCTGCGGTGGTGGCGAAGGATCAATTTCACCTGCCAGCTGACCTCGCATGTCTTAGGCGCGCGAGCCGTGCAGGCCAGCGGGTCGAAAATGTACGCGCCTTCCTGTCCACGCCCGCAGTTGATTGGCTCCTCAGCAGCGCAGAGGGACCACGTGTTTGTCGTAGAAAGGTCCTCTCAACATTCGCTGATGGGCGCGCTTTCGCTTGCGCGCGTGATCGCATGGTCTCCAGCCATGCTCTTTGGACTTCTTATTTGAAGTTCCCCCCCCCCCCGCCGGCCTTTGCCACCTTTGCTCCATCAGTGACCGCGGCCTTTGTAGGATCCGTGGCTCTGTCCACGACCGCGCCGCGTTGTCGTGGCGGCGCCGTGGTCCTTGTTCTTGCCTTTGCCCTTGCCTTTGTGCGATCCTTTGCTTTTGCCTTTCGGGTTCTTGCCCTTAGTCGCCCCCGTGGAGCCCACGGGGCCCACGCCCTTGGCGTCGACTGCTTGCCATTTCCTTCGCCTTTCGAGTCCATGCCTTTGTCGTGGCCATCCCCCCCCCGCCGGCAGTGGGGGCCGCGCCTCTTTTTGCCAAGTCGCGCACTGCCGCTTCGGCCGTGAGGCCCTCGGCGACGTAGTCCGCCAACTTGTGGTGCGCGCCGCGCTGCTGGAACCTCCTTGACCGGGCTCCTCTTCGGTGCTGCCTTCGCTTTGGCCTTGGCAAGTGCCTTGGATGTGCG